TTACAAATTATTCCGAATTTTGAATGCATTTTAAGAATACTTTTCCCATCAACTGGTCAAAAGGCACAACACCGCTGTATGCTGCTTGAAAGACGCCTGCACACTCTGAGGTAAACAAGTGCGGACATGAAGCACATGGCGGAACATGTGAGAGACGCTCTGGATGAAAGCGCACTTTCACTCTCTGACAGCAGATGGTGCTAAACTGCAGAAATGATAATAATAATAATATAATCATTCATTTAAATGCAGCCTTTACCCCGGAAACCCTGTAAACAAAGCAGCTGCACTACTTTCTTTTTTTTTATTGTGTTTAAATGATTTAAACAGCCATTCAGATTTGTGTATTTGCTATGATGTTCATCACAGCGCCAAATACTTACATATTTAGACTTAATAGGCTATTTATTTTCAAACTTTTTTTTACATTTTAATCTGGACTACAACATGCCCTAGATATTGTTTGAAAGTGTTTTGATTCTTTATTGTTCGGTCACACTTTACATTAGGGCTTCATTAGTTAACATTAGTTAATTCATTAGTTAACAAACTGCCAATGAAAAATTCTTCTGAACATTCATTAATCTTAGGTATTCCAATATTTAATAACAGGTTGTTAAAATCGAAAGTTGCAACTGTGTTATTTAATGAGCTAACCTGAACTAAGACTTGTATTTTTTAAACAAGGATTAATAACTTCTGTAGCAAATGTAGCTTTTGCTCATTGTGAATGTTAATGCATTAACTAAGGTTAACTAATGAGGTCTTTTTGTAAAGTGATACCTATTGGTCTTTATAGTTCTTTTGCACTTTAATCTGTGTAAAACTTTTAACTTTATACATTTTTCTGTATTGCTTTATTGCATTTAAATGTTCAGTTATTTTTGTTATAAGAAACATTTTATTAAACCTGTTATACTGTATTATGACAGCACTTTTTAAAACTAAATTTCAATATCGTGATAATACTGCATACCGTGATAACAGCATTAGCAATTAATCGCAACATGAAAATTTGATACCGGCATATCCCTACCCGTAATATTGTTGGGCAGAGTTTCAGAGCTTCTGAAACCTGAAGTCCTCTAATGTGGGGCATGACATCCATGTAACCCTGCTATCTGCGGGCACGCAAGCGCACGTTAGACAGGGGGCATGATGTGACGCACACATCCTCGCCTTATTCACCTCTATGTACTGTATGTCTACAATGTCCTTTTTCCGACATGCGCTCAAACAACACCAACTTGTTGCTTCATACTAAGGTCACGTTTTCCCTCCTGCATTGGATGCTTGATTTTATGATGCACAGGAATTACGGAGCCTCTCGAGTCACCGTTTACGGTGGTCGTTTAACATGTTTTTCTTTTTTCAGATAAGTTGCGGATAATAACCTGAGTTTCCTCCCTGTCCTCTTTTCCCTTCATGCCAATCATGGTGTGTCCAACTTTGGCTCAGTAGCACCAGCGTTCCCATTACCCTAACAGGGAATAAGATAGGGGGTCAGTACGGACATGGGAAGGGTGAGGTGGGAGTAATGGGGAGGGCTGTTCAGCTGTTCGCATGCACACACAACCATCCTCTTCCTGTGCATTAGAGATAGGGAGTAGGCTGGTCTGTTGCTATGGCGACACTGTGATTGGCAGCTGGCAGCTGTGTTTGGTCAGCTGTGGGGATGTGGAATGGGTTGGGGGGGGGGGTCTTTGCATGGTTAATTGCAGTGGATGATTACTTCATACACCACCTGATATATTTAACTGCTGCAATGTGACACTTGCGCATGTGACAATAAATTCTACCCAGGCACCTGTGTGTCTATAGAGGAGCATGTGTCCTGTTATATTTTATTAATATTCGCTCCCTACGGGGATGGCGTTTATCGGCCAGATCAGTGTAGCTTGAGAGCGAGAAGGGGGGAAAAAGAAGAGAGGTAACAGGCAGGGAAAGGGAGGGCGAGAGCGGCATTGTGGGAAGGGTTGCTGATACAGCACAAGCTACCAGGTTTATTTATAGAGACCTCGCCGCCCAGCCCTTGGATACCAGCAGCCAATCGGGAAGGAGAGAGGGAGGGGGCCTCTGCCAATCAGAGCGGAGGAAGGGGGGTGTCACACTCAGGAAGTTCTCAATGTGTTCATTTCAGCATTTAAAGGCACAGTGTGACATTTTTCCTGGTGCTCAGTAGGTCGCGCTCTTTTAGTCATCGTTTCCCTCTTAAAACGAGGAGGAGGAAATGAATTGAAATAAACAAGAGCGTGTTTTTGCAGGGTGTTATAAAAGTTTTTTTTTTTTTTTTAAAGCGATCTTTGTGTGGGTTTTTGTTGCACAAGTCATTTTTTTAGATGAATTGAAAATGTTTTGCAATACTGGGCATTGATTGAGTTGTCATTTGCAACGGGGTCTGAGCAAATAAAAAGCAGTTGGAGATGAGTCACATATGTATATCCAGGCAGGTTTCCTGTCAGTGAGTTGGTGCTGGGACTCCTCCTATGGGCATGTAACAGCAATGCTTGCCGTCACTCCCTGGGATTGATGGTGATCAGATGTGTCGTTTTGCACTTTGTTTAAGCTACGGCCATTGATCGGCCGGCTATTTCAAGTTGTAATGTGTCACTGATAAATTTCACCCCCCATTACTCCTCACCTGTCAGCCCCTGAAAGCAGCAATAAAAGCATTCGCTGTGGAATATCTCATCCATTTCATATCCCCCCGTTAGACGTTCACGTCCCTGCTTCTGCACTCAGCAATCTTACTTAATTACTGTACTCTCGGCACGTTCTCGCCTCTTTCCCGGGATGTCCGTTACTTCCTTTGTGCATTATGAATGTTCAATGTGCTTGTGGATTATTGTGTGCAAAAAAAATCACATCCTGCAGTTAAAATTTAAGTTCATCAAATTTGGGACAGCATTAATTCTTTATAAGCCTGTAGTTTATTGCTCCGTTAGTCCTTTGGTCTTTTGTACAAATAACTAGCTCCAAAAACTTCTCTGGCCTGCATTGTGAAAGGTTTCGTGTTAATATATGAAGTTCATATACACAGGTTTTATGCTCTGCAGAACATAAAGAGCTTTAAAAAAATTATTGCATATTAAATCGCAATCGCAATATTGGTAAAAAAAATCGCAATTAGATTATTTTCCAAAATCGTTCAGCCCTACTCTGGTCTCAGATTTCTTGGTTGGGGGCTTGATATTAGTTTATAAGGGTAAATCACACAAAACCGGGCTAGAAAATGTCTAGGTTATAAAAATTAGAAACCGTATTTTGGAAATAGACAATTAGGCCTGTTTTAAGATTTTACGTTTTGGATTGTGATATTAGTTTCCTGACAACTAAGCACATTTTCCCCCAAAATCTAATTTATTTCATGCAAACAACTCTCATTCTCGTTACATAAATTGCTATATATATGTATTACTTAAAGGGGTCATCGGATGCTCATTTTGCACAAGTTGATATGATTCTTTAGGGTCTTAATTAAAAGTCTATAACATACTTTGGTTAAAATTTCTCAATGTTAGTGTAAAAAACACCTTTTTAAACCTGTCAAAATCAGCTCTGTTTTTATCAAGCCATTATAGTCCATGTTGCTTTAAATGTTAATGAGGTCTGCTGGCCCCACCCCTCTCTTCCAAGCTGCTCTCAGAGAGACTGTTTACTTTTGCCGCATTCATCATGAAACTTGCTAATTAGCGCATTATTAGGAAAGGTGATTTGCAAAGATTCATAAAAAAACCTTATACTCACTTCTTCTGTAGATGAGGCTGGATCACAAATGATTCGAGCGAACATAGATGCATTTAGGCTGATCGGGAGTGGCGCATTCACTTCAAAGTTAAAGTAACGTTAATCCTCTGCGTCTTCAGCAGCTCAGATACATTTATGTTCAAACAACTTGAAAAGTGAATTTTGCATCCGATGATCCCTTTAAAGTATTGATTCACTATTATAATAAGCTATTCATTGTACTGCCGTTTAAATTAAAATGTTAAAATTATTTAATATAATACAATGTAGATTATTTATATATATTATTTTACTGTATATAGGCCTAGTGTGTGTGTGTGTATATATATATATAGACATACAGTATTACACTAATAAAAACTAATAATGACAGTCACTGTAAATTATGGGAATACAAAACTCAAAAGTAAAATGTCAGGGCATATTACAAAGGAAATTGTGGTTAATTATTATGAAAATAATGCTTAAAACAAAGCTGAAAATGCATTGTGGACCAACAAAAAAATATATAAAATATGCTAAATATATTTTCTTATTTTCTTTGGATTTTGGAGTTTGGATTCACCTGTAATTTGAGGTCAGCACTATAGCAGGCAGCCTTTATTTGAAAGTAATAGCTGCAGAATATTCTTGGCCAACGAGTGGCAGCACAGGACCATGGATAGCTCTGCTTGCCTCCCAGTCACTCCCATCATCCACTGAGATTTTGGTGTGCAATGTCATACAGCAGTCTTTCTTTGTTCCACCGGGTTGGCAGTGACATACAGTACAGTGATTTTCTGGCGTTTGCATATTGTCCGCCAGTAGCTGTCGGAAAAACACATGCTGCTCAGAAAGTTGAGAGAATTATTCAGATTTGGAAGCCATTCTCAGGTCTTTGAAGGTGTATAGCAGTGTATTCCCACCTCCAACGCACGCTTGTCATGCTGACCTGAGGAACGGTGCTGTAATTTCTCAGCCAAAATGAACTGGAGCTTCTTGAGAGGATAACCGATCATTCTTATCACTATTCCATCCTATTGTAGGAGATTTCAAAGATCTCTTAGCTGGAGACTCTGAAAATACCTTCAGTTTGACTTCCAATATGGTGTGTGTGCGTGTGTGTGTGAGGATGTGTGTTCATATTTCTACTTCCCCCTGCAGTGCAGTGTTTCTCCCCACACCCATGTCAGTATTTGCTTGGCATGCGTGATACACTTTAGCAATGTGTTTTCTGAAACCTCTCTCGTTTTTTTCCCCTTTTCTCTATGAAGGTGGAAGCAGCTCAGGATGCAAGCCCCCCTCCTCTACCCTCTGCCAGCCTGCCGCCTTGGGCTTCTCCCCCGCTGAGCCAACCATGTCGAGCCAGCACAGCCACCCCTCCTTCGGTAACATCCACTCCATGGCCGACCAGCAGCAGGTACCAGAAACATGCTTCCTTGCAATTAAATTCTATGATATAACCCGTATGCAAAGCATCATTGTTATTGTGTGGTTGGATATCAACAGTCATAGTAACAAAAAATATGTTTTTGTGACTTGTCCCTCACCATATTTTATTTAAAAATTGCAGTCGAATAAATAAACACAATTACATGGGGATTAATAAATTAATTGCAATGGCATACACTGTGTTTAAAAACTTGCTGAGAAAGGCCTCAAATGAAGATGACATTGTGTTTGACTACTAAATCATTGCATAGACATTACAACAAGTGACTACAGAAGGCAGTATATGGTTTTATTTCAATAAAATTGTCTCTTACTGGCCTGCAGTCCACCGTTACATTATGAATTTGAGTTTATTTATCTGCCTGAAGTAGAATAATGGGTTGTTTACCCAGGACAGGTTCTTATATTCTGCAATATTTCATTATTTGAAAAACAGCTGGCGACTCTGGTGAGATAGAATTTGCAAGATAATGTATATATAGCAATAATAAATGTATGTGTGTTTTCTTAATTTCTCCAGTACGATAGCAGAACCGTTAACGTCAGAGATTATCGATACTCCGGTCTTTCATAATTTAGCCCGGGACCGATTAAATACCGGGTTTCGGTACCCATCCCTACTTATTGGTCTATGTATACATCCATATTGACGTCATTAGCTATTGCATCACTATTGCATGTAGGTTGGAGAATCCCTTGTTACAGTTTTCATGTACAGTTCATGGGGAAGATAAATAATTGGCTGCTTTTTATTGCAATATTTTATTATATTATATATATATAGACTATAATAATTAATCACACTATATAAGTGCATTAAATTAATAGCCCTATTTATTAGTTAACTTTGCACACTTGAATTTACATTCTAAAGATTTTATAGATTTACTTATTTTCATTTAGTTTTTATTCATGTATTATATATTTTTAGGTATTAAATTAATTGTATATATATATATGTATGTATGTCCTCTAACCTTGTGGTTTTTGTTATGGTGGTTCCTCAGTTGCCCCTCCTTTTTTCTTACAGTTGTCTCAGTGTCACTTTTTTTTTTCCCAGGTGCTGTCAGATATGACCATCCTGCAGAGGAGGATTCCCCCGAGTTTTCGAGATCCCGCCAGCGCCCCGCTACGAAAACTCTCAGTCGATCTCATCAAGACATACAAGCACATCAATGAGGTGAGCCAGCAGGCCTTTTCATATTTACACTCACAATAAGACCAGTCATACAAACTCTCCAGTGATTAGCGAAGTAGCAACAGAGGTGCAAATATTAAGTCTTTTGCTTGCTTTCCAGGTGTATTACACGAAGAAGAAACGGCGAGCCCAGCAGGTCCCACCCGAGGACTCTAGCACCAAAAAAGAGCGCAAGGTGTACAACGACGGCTACGACGACGACAACTATGACTACATTGTGAAGAACGGGGAGAAATGGCTGGACCGCTACGAGATCGACTCACTTATTGGCAAGGGCTCCTTCGGACAGGTTAGCATAACTCTGAAGATGAGAATAGAATTGGCTAAGGCTACACGATTTGGTCAAACATCTCATTGCTGCTACTTAGATATAAAGTCTAAAAGAATACAGGCATAAAATCAACAATGGTGCTCATGTTCAATAGGGTGCATTAAAAACGGCAAACTAGCAAGTGATGTTTTGTCTCCAAACTAACTTGACCCAGAAGTGAACTAAGTGTGACTCTATTTTGCATTGTATCTGGATTTGAAAGTAGATCTGGATCTACTTTTTTGGTTTTAGCTGTGCCATCAGTTACTTTTTTACATTCACACAGTCAATTCAAGTATGATAATATTGTAATACAATTTTGAAGTTTCATTATTTTAATATTCATTAGTGAAATTAGTCAAATTCATGAAAACTGATGACGGTTTCTGTAAAACAATAGTTTTTAATATGCTCCTCCAAATCTAATAAATGGTCTCCAGCTAAGCCCTGGTAATGTTTCGTTACATTAGATTTTGAGTGTTAGAATAATGAAATTATGAAAATAATGTAAGCTGCTTTGTGTTCTCGATTAATGCATTATTATAAGCAAACCACACTACAGACTCTAAAGGTCTTATAAATGGATTGGTCTAATAAGGATTTTTTACAGTGAATGTGAAGAATTTAAAGCTCTGTGTACAGAAACTCAGATGCATTTTTTAAATGTTCAATTTTAAACATGAAATATGTTGATACTGTCATTTACTGTTGTAAAGCTATTACATAGTCCTATGTGTGTAGGTGGTGAAAGCCTATGACCACCATGAGCAGGAGTGGGTGGCCATCAAGATCATCAAGAACAAGAAAGCCTTCCTGAACCAGGCCCAGATTGAGCTGCGGCTTCTTGAGCTCATGAACAAACACGACACTGAGATGAAGTACTACATAGGTAAAAACCAGACACAAGAATATGAATATAAGCAGCTGTTACTCTACTTTTAGTCTTCTGTAGTAAAACCCTGACCTAATGGCAAGAGAACTTCCTCCCACCACAAAGCAACAAGTAAACAAGACTAAAAGTAGTACATGAGGCTATTTCACAGATAGAAAGCAAAGCATAATGAATGATCTGGATCTCATGGATATCTAGTTGACTTGCTACGAACTGCATTTTGCCACCCTAATACATCTTCTTTTTCTTATTTTTGTTTCTTCAGTCCACTTAAAGAGGCACTTCATGTTCCGTAACCACCTGTGCCTGGTGTTCGAGCTTCTCTCCTACAACCTGTACGACCTCCTGCGTAACACCAACTTCCGCGGCGTCTCGCTCAACCTGACGCGCAAGTTCGCTCAGCAGCTGTGCACAGCGCTGCTCTTCCTGGCCACGCCCGAGCTCAGCATCATCCACTGCGACCTCAAGCCTGAGAACATCCTTCTTTGCAATCCCAAGCGCAGTGCCATCAAGATTGTGGACTTTGGCAGTTCCTGCCAGCTAGGACAGAGGGTGAGATGGCGTCTCAGGCCCGTTGGAGTCGATGTTGGTTAACAGCAGGCTTATATGAGGTCACGCCCAGTAGTAATTAGTGAACTTGCATTTAAACGAACAAAATTGACATGCAGTGGTGAACATTTAATGGTTAAATGCCTCTGTAAGAGAGAAGAAAACGCAGTGGTTTTAGTTGATGGGATGTGCATTCAGAGCACATTCTAGAGGACTTTCCCACAGCTGAAATGGATTTTACTGCTTGAGATTCCTAGTGGCAGTGCTGCACCCTTTTTAAGTTGTAGATTTTGCTGCCCCCTAGTGGAGAAAAGTGTAAATGTACTCAATAGTCACTATGAGAGCTCAGTCTGCTTGGTAGAAACTAGTGCATGCTTTCTTTGTGCATGTCATTCATTACTGTCTTCTTTCTGTATTAGATTTACCAGTACATCCAGAGTCGGTTTTACCGCTCTCCTGAGGTGTTGCTGGGCATGCCGTATGACCTGGCTATAGACATGTGGTCCCTGGGCTGTATCCTGGTGGAGATGCACACGGGCGAACCGCTCTTCAGCGGCTCCAATGAGGTACGGCTCGGGGATTAGTCACACAATGACTGTGCAAAGCTTTGTGACATACTATGTGCGTCTTTTTTTGACGTTCATCCACTTGTAAGAATTGCACTTTAACAGGCATACAAACAGCATTTATGCATTATTAAAATATTATAATTATTTTTAAGACTGTAAATATTCAAAACGGGAGATGCTCCAACTTATTCTGATTGGTCCATTATTTCGTTTTCGGTAATTGAACAAAAGCTGAAATGAAATATGAATATTAGATGAAAAACCTAAAAAACTAAATAAGTTGAAGTACAAAAATGACTAAATAAATTCAAGCTAAATGGTATTTAAAAAATTTCTAAAACTTATACAGATTTTTTTCTTCCTTTTTTAACACCATATCAGCTTCTGTGGCTGTTTATGGGGCCGTTCACATATAGCGTCTTTTGCGCGCTCAAGTTCGTTATTTCAAATGTAGACGCGCGGCAGGCGCAAGCGCACCGCGGATCATGTGACAAGAACCAACCAATCAGCTTCATCCTTTCCCGTAACAACATTGAAAGCTCAGCCAAGATGAAGGAACAGCTGATCATAGCTGTACAGGGATAGCCATTTTTAAATAAATTTAGTAGCAGAGCTACTGCAAGCGATTTTTAGTGCTGCAAATCCATTTATCCTTTGCTGAAACTTCCGCGTCTTCATGGAGAGCGCAGGTCATGGTTGCTTAGCAACGGCAGACGCCTCCGGAGCGCAAGCGCCCAAACGCTTTGGAAAAAAGCAGAAAGCGGCACGCCTAGCGTTTTCCACGCGTTTTTAGGCGCTACATGTGAACGGCCCTTATGGCGAGAGCCAGGTTTAGTTATTTGAAAATAATAAACTGAAATTTAAATTTAAAATTAAATTAACACTGGTCTGAACACAAGATCCTGTGTATACGCCCTTTAATCAACTCCTTAAAGGGATAGCTCACCCAAAAATGAAAATTATGTAATTAATTACTCACCCTCATGTCGTTGCAAACCTGTAAGACCATCGTTCATCTTCAGAACAGAATTTTTGATGAAATCCGAGAGCTTTCTAACCCTGTGTAGACAACAACACAACTAAAACGTTCAAGGCCCAGAAAGGTAGTAAGGACATTGTTAAAATAGTCCATGTGACATCAGTGGTTCAACCGTAATGTTATGTAGCTACGATAATACTTTTTGTGCGCAAAGAAACAAAATAACGACTTTATTCAACAATTTCTTCTCTTCCGCGATTTCATCAAAAATATCTTAATTTGTGTTCCGAAGATGAACGAAGGTCTTACGGGTTTGGAACGACATGAGGGTGAGTAATTAATGACAGAATTTTCATTTTTGGGTGAACTAACCCTTTAATGCATTTCAAAATGTATTCATCTGTTATATGTATGATATCTAATGAATCAGACGCATACTTGCTAAAATGTCAGTTGCAACAAAGTCCATATGGATCTTGCTCTAACGCTGTACTGTATCTTTCTTAGGTGGACCAGATGAATAAAATAGTGGAGGTGCTGGGGGTCCCGCCCAACCATATGCTGGATCAGGCCCCTAAAGCACGCAAGTACTTCGACAAGCTGTCCGACGGCCTGTGGACCGTCAAGAAGAACAAGGACATTAAGAAGGTACTTTATCCTTCGGCCTCCGTGAGTAAAACTCTGCTTCTACTTAACCTTCGCCCTCCTCCCAAAGACCCCCCTCCCTCACCGTCACCTGTTCCACACCAACGCTCACCTTATCCTCAGGGAGAGGGGAAGAGAGAAAACTGGGGCTAAAATGGAGGAGGGTGGAGAAAAAGGTTGGGGATGGAATTGAAGCAAGGCTAATGTGTGCTAGTGAACCTCCTCCTCTCTCCACTGACCCGCCTCTGCTTACAGAAGCACGAGGTCAATCAAAACCCCACCCTACAGCATCTGTTCTCCTCATCATTGCCATCATCACAATCATTTTCACAACCATTCACATTCTGTCTCTAAGATGCTAGGTAGAAACAGGCGTGTTAGTTGTGCTTATATTACAGTATACATCAAGATATGTAAAATAAAAGGCCAAAAATATGTGGAAACCCATTTTTAAATATTATATACAACAGCAAACAATGACAGCATATAATCCTAGAAAACTGGACCACCTAGTGGTTTTGAAATTAAACCCACATTAAGTACACATCTGGATTGGGTGTCCAGATACTTTTGGCCGTACACTACTGTTTAAAACTTTGGGGTCGGTATGAATTTTTTGTGGAAAAAATAATACTTTAATCATACCAATGCAATATTAATACACTAAAGTGAGAGTTTCTATAACAAGTAACAAAAAAATAATAAATGGCAGCAACCATATGGTGTAATATATGGGAATGAATTGGGGGTGGGAGCAAATAAGTTCTACTTCTTTCCACTCCCTTTCGAGCAAGTATTATGTGTAAATATGTGTATGGATATGTGTAACATAATTGTATATGTATGGATACATATATATGTGAGATAAACTGTTCTATTTTTCTATGTATGTGTATTGATATATATATATATATATTTATTTTTATTTATTTATTTATTTTTATTTATTTATTTTTTTTGCTCGAAATAAACTTAAACTTAAACTTAGAGTGGAAGTACAAAAGATTTTTTTTAGTTTTATTGAGCTTTTTATTCATCAAAAAATCCTGAAAAAATGTATCATTTTCCGCAGAAATACTAAGCAACACAACTATTTTCAACATTGATAATAGAAATGTTTCTTGAGCACCAAATAAGTATAATAGAATAATTTCTGAAGGATCATGTGACACTGAAGACTGGAGTAATGGCTGCTGAAAATGATACGAAATTGCATTTTAAAATATATTAAATAAAATATATCAAAATAGAAAACAGTAATTTAAAATTGTAATACTATTTTGATAATATAAATGCAGCCTTGGTGCACATAAAATACATTCAAAAAAATCAATATCAATATAAAAACATAAAAAAATCTTACTGACCCAAAACGATTGAACGATAGTGTAAATAAAAAAGTAAGGCTTTATAATGAGGTCCCATTTGTTAATAATATTTTACCTTTATTAATCTTTGTTAATGTTAATAAAAAGTTAATTTGTGTTAGTTAATAGTGCATCAACTTGCCTTATTGTAAAGTGCTGCTAAAATAACAATGTAAAGATTTAAAATATTGATGTAATGTTGCATGAAAAGAATCTCTATATATTGATATGTATATATTGCATTGGTAGAGCCCTACCTGTTACCTGTTAGCAGCTCTTAGTCTAGTCAGTGACACGCATTGGGTCACAGGTTAAGTGAGTGCAGCCAGTAGCTAGAATGACCCTGTTTCCTGTGAAGATACGTGAAAGTAGCTTCAGGTTAAGACTGTGTGTGTGTGGCCGCAGATTAAGATGCAAAGGTGATAGCAGGTGGAGGGTAAAAGTCTGAATGAGGTCCTAATACGCTTTGTTTTACAGGATTAATGTCTGGCACTTACTGCCAACTCATCCAGAGACTCACCTCAAATGCTCCAGCACGCATTTTGTGCTTCCGTGTGTACAATAGAGAAAAAGGTTAAAACATTTGAAAACTTTGTACTCTTTTACAGTGGAGGTGCTGGAACATTTAAGTCTTAAGTCTTTTTATAGTATTTATGGACCATGATATAATTTAAATGGCACAGATTAGGGTCAGAATCAAAGGACCAGTACTATGTTTATGACAGGGTTCAACAATAAGGGTTTTTATTTTCTGGTGACCAAGTTTCTTTACTTGACCTGACAAACAATCTAATTGGCTTCAACTAGGGATGTAACGATTCACTCAACTCAGGATTCGATTCGATTCACAATTTTGATTTCACGTTTCGATTCGATTCACGATTTTAATTTTTTTTTATTTACAAAATGAGATTTAAGACAAATTCTAAATTAAATGTGTCCTTTTATTATTGCTTGGACAAAATGCAGCATGTTTCTTTGTGAAATTTAAATATAACACTATAATAATACACTAATATAGCACTTGTATATTATTGCTCTTTTGTTGGTTTTGATTGCTTCTATTGTCCTCATTTGTAAGTCGCTTTGGACAAAAGCGTCTGCTAAATGACAAAATTTAAATATAATGTAAATGTAAATAACAAAACTAAATTGAAATTTTAAAACAAGCCCCAAATCAAATAAATAAGTAACACAAATAAAAGAAATCTCTTCATATAAACAAAATAAGGCTTTGTCTGTGCTCTTTCCTTTTAAAATTAGAGGCAACCACTGCATTTTAATCATGATCCAAACAAAGATGCTGCATACATGCAACATGAGCAGTTTTTAAAATAAATCAGATTGTATAATTTCGAAATTTAAAGCAAAAACAGAATGATTTGACTTCAGTTTTGTGAAACTATAAATAAAAATATCTGCATGAAACAGCAAAGCTGAATGAGATGCAGATTCACTCTCTGCCAGCAGGTGGCAGAGCTGAATGAGACGCAGATTCACTCTCTGCCAGCAGGTGGCGCTTAAAGCGTTTCCTTGGTTTCCGCTGTAAACAAAGCTTGGCTGCACTTATGAACTTTAATATGCATTATACAGAAGCAAGATGAAGAGAAAAAATACCATCTAAACTTTTCTAAAGACAGTAAGTTCCCCTCAGACATACATTCATATAAACTCCTACCCCTAATTGAATCGCGATTTGTTTAGCATCTCAACCGATTTAAATCGTCACATAGTTGAATCGATTTTCAACCAGCTCGCGGTTAATCGTTACATCCCTAGCTTCAACAAACATTTTTCTCACAAAAATTATTATATTAATATTTAAGGAACAAAAAGAAAGTGTGCTTACTATAATAATACATTAGTTGAACATTTTATGCTGTAATTTTGTAGTAATAGCTGGAAGTTATGGAGATATGTGATTGTGTGTAGTTCTTTCAACTGAAGTTCTTTCAAAAAGTCTCATTGTTGAACCCTGTATGACACTGAGAGCCCCTATGCAACCGTCGTTATTCCCACAAAACCACAAACATCTCTCACTTTCAGCCCCCCTTCACCTGCATTCAGTAATGATTTCTGAGGCTGATTAGTTTCCTATTAAAGTCAACATGAAATCTGAATTGCAATACACGCGTGTGCTCAGTCTATTAATGCACAGAGAGGAAAATGTTTTCCTAATTTCAACGTTTTAAGAATGTATGTACTGCTACAACTTTTTTCTAGCCAACATGGTAATCTAATGCTGGTTAATGTTAACGTGAACAAACTTGCATTCAAAAGCGTGCCGCAAAGCCCCAGCAAAAGTAATTACCTTGAATGTGTCGGGGGGGAAATAATTAGATATTTGAATTATTTATTAATAAATTAGTGTTTTCTGAGTCCGTGTCGCAAAGATGAAGATGACGATCCTGATCCTGACAAATGCATCTTTACAGATTGTATAAAATCCGTAAAAAGAGTTTTTGTTTTTGATTCTAATTATTTAGTTTTAAAGTAGTAATTTAAAGCTTTCTATATATATATATTTAGCAAGTTTTTGAGGCAAGTATTCGCTGAGTTTCGGTTAATCTGTGAAGCGCTCCTGGCCGAAATTGCAGTTAATGTACTTTTAAAGTTTAAATCACATTAAAAGCTTAATTTGTACATTATGAATGAATGATGATGCATTTATATACCGTCACCCACAGCCGGTCGCACGTGTTTTGCGCATGAGCCGCACGCAGCCCAAAATTAAACGACTTAATCGACCATGATAGCTTTAATCGATTGCATCTCTTATCGACAATTAATCGATCATCGATTAATCGTTGACATCCCTAATTCACATCATACTTAATTTCGGTATGTAACTTTCATTAAAAATGTGGAACACACTTTTCATGTTCTAGTCACTTCCCGATGGTTGCAAATGCCATTTCATGTTGACTTTATAGTATTAAAGCAATAATATTAGTAGATTTTTGTATTTATTAATCCTTAAATTGGTTGTTACTAATGTAATATGTTTCTAGACTATTTCATCACCCATTGTCCTTAAATGTTTAAAAACGATAACATTTGAACTGTTATCTGCACTAAATGCTACACATTTGTGCCTCATTTTCTTCCCTTCCTCTGTTGTTGATTTGTCCCTCCAGGAATATAAACCACCTGCCACGCGACGACTGCATGAGATCCTGGGGGTGGAGACGGGAGGTCCAGGGGGGAGGCGAGCTGGAGAACAGGGTCACGCGCCCTGCGACTACCTGAAGTTCAAGGACCTGATCCTGCGCATGCTGGACTACGATCCCAAGACGCGCATCACGCCCTTTTACGCGCTGCAGCACAACTTCTTCAAGAAGACGACGGATGAGGGCACCAACACCAGCAGCTCCACCTCCACCAGCCCTGCCATGGACCACAGCCACTCCACCTCCACCACTAGCTCCGTCTCCAGCTCTGGTAAGTGTGTGTAATGCAGCGGTCACACTAGAGTTTGAGCATGCAAAATTTCTACGAACGCTGCAATGTCACACTCTGTGGCATCTTTTTTAAAAACATATAATACGGGTGTAACAATAAATTGTGTCACAATATATTGCAATACAAAAATGCAACAATATCTATTGTGGATAGCGATGATATGTATTGCGTATGGTTCAGCCAAAATCATATGTAGAAATATTTCATTTTGCATCAAATATGGTAATGGGACATCAAATAATGTAATCTCAGAAGGTCACACATTTGATCTTCCATGTTTAGTAATTATTATTAATAAATTAAAAATTAAATACATAATTTGCGATTTTGTAAATGTATGTAGTCTGGGACTAAGTATGTGTAAATATTTGGTCAGAATCATGAATTTTCTGTGCGCGGGGAAAAGGATAATTCATGTCAATTCCTGATATAATACCAAATTTAGCATTTTTATAAGCAGTACTTTTTATTAACTGCTGTATATATAATGTATATACCATATGTGTTAGAATACATTTTTTTAAGCAATATATTTATTAAAAAAAAAACATTTTAACTTTTTTTGTATGTTCAAAATATCTTGAGATCAGTATCATGTATCAAACCGAATCGTGACACGAGTGTATTGTTACACCCCTAAAACATCCAAAATGTAAAAATATGCAATCTACTCCAGTTTGCTGCAACGCTGCAGATTTAAAGTTTATGTTCTTTCAATTCAGCTAAGAGGTCACGCCGTGACGTATCAATCTTTTATTGGTCACACGTCTTCATGTGATACAAAGTCACCAAACTTGAACTTTGGAACGCAAATTCATATAATCTTGCGTTTCCTGTCTCCTGTATATGCATACATATGAATGGAATGAATGGAGTCAATGGAACGAAAAGTGTAGTGTGATCACACCTTAAACCTGTTACTTAGGGATAGTAAAACAAGAAAAGGACTCGTTTTACATCAGCTCTTTGTCCTTGCTCCCAATCCAGGTGGATCTAGCGGTTCTTCCAATGACAACCGAAATTACCGGTACAGCAATCGATACTACAACAGTGCAGTCACTCACACGGACTACGAGATGCAGAGCCCACAAGTAAGCAATCGTTGCAGAGCACCACACAGCTCCTCGGTAACATGACGAAACGACTCATGTTGATCGCCTCTTCTCTCTCCAGGCTCCGTCTCAACAGCAGTTGCGCATCTGGCCAAGAGGGGACAGCAGCATGGGTCAGCTGTCCAACAGCGGCAGCGACTCCTCCTACCCGCAGCTACTGTTGCACAAGCCGGCGGCCACGCAGCACTCGCGCCACTTCCTGGGCAACATGGGGGGCATGATGGAGCCGCACCATCCCCACCCCATCTACGGCAGCCACCACAGCAACGGCAGACAGCTCCGGCAACAGCAGCAGAACCAGCCGCAGGGCCAGGCCTCACAGGGCCAGCAGGGCCAGGCGCTGATGCCCATCTCCTCCCCACAGATGCAGGACAGCATCGAGCTCAGCCTCACCCACCACCACCACCTGGGTCAGTCTTCCATCATGCAGCCGCCCCCGTCGAGCTTGGACTCCAGTCAGTACGGCTCCTCCAACCTCCACCTGGGCCTCTCTGCCTTTCGGACTAGGACAGTCATGGCCCCCCAGCAGCCCCCTTCCGCTTCCCAGCAACAGTTGCCCCAGGCCCCAGCCTCCCAGGACAGCATGGTCGCTGCCTCCGGTTTGGGATACATCCCTCCGTGCTACGCCGGCAGCAACAACAATAACAACCCACCGCAGGGAAGCGTCGGAGTGGGGGGGATGCTCACCGGGGGGCCTCCGCCCAGAGGAGTCGGGGGAGCTGGGGGGCGGCCGGACTCCGAGGAGTCTGCCATGATGGCAGTGTGCGGCAGCGGGAGTGGGAGCGGTCAGAGTGCAGCCAACTCTTGATAAATCTTGAACAAATTCCAAAAGCCATACGAAAATTTTAACAACAACAAGCGCCACATGTACACACACACGCGCGACACGTAGTAAACGTACGACACACATACATGCGCGCACAGCCACACGTAACAGAATCGCAGAGAAAAACTTGTGAAATATCAGACAGTCGGTTTCGTTTTTTCATTTCGTTGTTTTGGTTTTGCATGGGGAGAAGGTCAAGGGAGGGATTTGAAACTACTTTTATCGTTATTTTTCTGTTAGTTTGTTTTTCTTTCATCGAAGGAGAAGGGCGGCAGGTGAAGTAGTCGCAACAGAAGGTTTCAGTACGTTTGTTTTTACCATTCTTATATTGTTATTTGAGTTTGTGATTTCAGGACAGGTTTGCAGCGAGAGATTTTTATTGAGGAGAGGAGAGTTTTGGGTTGAAAAAAATTGAATGTTTTTGTCAACAGGACAGCAGCAGGAGAAGAGTACCTTATGCTTTTTTATTTTTGGTTTGTTTTGTTTTTTTGTTTTTTTCCTGCGGTTTTGCCGTAATTATATATTTTTAATTTATTAAGAATCACTACATAAGGAGAGAGACGGGAGAGGGGTTAGAAAGAGATCTAAATTGAGAGGTGGGTATTTTGTGGGTTTATTTATTCAATGTTTTATTTATACAGTTGTTGTTTTTTTGGTCAGACATGATACTTATGCATAGAAAACAACAAGCAAACAAACAAACTGGGTTTGAGGTTTTTGTTTTCTTTCTTGGCTTCATTTTGTTGTTTTTGGTTGCGTTTTTCTAGTTGAGCATAACCCACACACACATATAAACAAACACACAGGCAAGACATACACAAACACATTTTTGTTACTTTTTTTTAAATGTTTCCAGTCTTTATCTCGCTTGACACACTGGCTTATATATCTCAAACTATGAAACAAATCCTACGAATGAAATAAAGCAAATGACAGAAACTGTTTTTAGTCGCCACACAGTGAGCAACACCAACTAACAACTAGAGGAGGAGGCTGAACCATGAGCCGCTTTCACGAGGAGAGGGGAAACGTAACTCGACTTCACATAAAGGAGGAAGTGATACAGGAAAGTCTTGAAAAACATCAAAACGTTTTGCCAGAAGGAAAACCAAAATGCTTCCCTGTTGTTCGTTTCAAAAAGTAGTCTGCCTCCTTCTTCTTCTTCACCATCTCACTAGACTTTCTATCCCCTCTCTCTTACTTTGGTTTCTGTCTCTGTCTCTCTTTTTTCTAACCCTCTTTGTTTTGGACAGAAAACTATGAAAGCGTTAACACATTTGTATTAACTCTGGATATGCTAAGCCAAATCTTGCTGTAGCTAGCTAGCTCTCTCTCTCTCTTTTTTTCTGTCTGGGGCGAGGAGGGCGGAATACTTCGGTACGAAGGGACACTGTCACGCCCTCCTGACTGCGGCCCCTCCCACTCTGACTTCATTTCCTGCCTCTCATTTTGCTTTCTCTCCTGTCTTTATTCTCCACCTCCTCCCCTTCCTCCTTCACAACACTCTGTGAGTGCTGTTTGCCATCAAGTCAAAAAAGTGAACTACTTCTCTCTCGGCTGCTATCTCCACTCTCAACCATGTTCGGATTGCTGCTAAAGAAAACAGACAGATAAATAAATAAATGAATAAATAAAGAAATAAAAATGAGAACTTTTTAACCCTCCTGCTTCAGAAAAATGAAAAATAAACCACTGCATCTCATGTATTTATTACTATTTAACAAGGAAAAAAGAAAAAAAGAAAAATCTGTTTTCTGCTGTTTTTTTGTTTGCTTTCTTTCTTGGTACAGGTTAAAGCTTGACATTTATATTATGTAACGGAAACATGGTATTAAACAAGTGCCTCGATTTATTGGTCAGCCACTGGACGGAATTGAACAGAAGAGGATTATAGGAGTTTGATCAAGGTTTATTATATGTATAGCTAAAATTCAAGCCTCATGCAACTGTGTAGAAATCCACGACTATTCAAACATCATGTGAGAACTTCATATTGGACGCAAGCTTCATTCAGTATGACTGACCAATACCATATATTTAATTAACTGATGACATCTTCATCCATTGTAATCTGTGTACATAGCATCCATGCATCATCCAGTTAACGTTAAAGCAATGTTAGGGTGAAATGTCATTTTCGAGGTTAATTCTAATGACTGGGATTCGAACCTGCCACCTTTGAGGCGTCAGGACCTGCAAACTACCTTACTCTGCTCAGATCAGTGATGATGACTGCTGTCCTTTATGTTCTTAATAACCAGTTAAAACTTGTAATTGGCCTCACTGGCTTCTTTACTTTGTCATTTGTTTCAACACCATCCTTCATGAAAACCTAATGTCTGAAGTATTATGATATCCTCGGATTTTGGTTTCTCTATTAAAGAGAGAGTTGCCTCTGTAGGTCCTCCAATCTTGTTATGTTTAGCAGACCTTGGTCACCATATAAATGTCACACTCACCATGCACTGTCAGAAACGTGTCTGAGCACTGATAAACGTTGAAAATGCAGATGTTTCCGAGCTGCTTATAACAAAAATACAGATTTTTGTGTCTGTTCAGTCATTATTGAAGAGTATAGGAAATATATCTATCTATATAGAAAGGAGGGGTTGTGGGGGACAGTATTCGGGACAAATTGTTGCTCTGTCACCTCCCAATAAATCTTGAAAACCCTCACATAAACCAATACCTCTGTTGAAGTGGAGGAGCATCTAAAGGGATATTTTTCACTATTTTTTAATTGTAACGATCACAAGATCAGCTAGATTTTTTTTACTTCCATTCCATAGGGAAAGCTAATTCAGAGGCTATTGGGAACTTCCTACTGGTTTGGTAGCTATAATATCTTATAGTCACAAGCTGGCTGATGCAATTTTTAATGGCTGTACTGCAAGTCAGAAGTTACTGGAAGTTGCACCTAAAATATGTATTGCTGGTCTTTTATGAATCACTTGAATGAATTAGACTTACTGTAAGACATTTTGTTGAAGTAGATAAGTGTATTTATGGTCTCACAGCAAGAATCAAATGTGTATGGTAAAAATATATATATTCTTTTCATATAAGTCAGTCAAAAAGTCCTATTTAACATTCGTCTTTTCTGCCAAAACAATAGCTTCCACAATGCTGTTTAATGTGCATGCTTCTAACTAAAGTTATAAACCATATTTTGTGTTAAATCTTAAAACAATAGCAAACTTTAGCCTAATGCAGGAACCCGAAACTGAATTTATTTTAAGAAACATCGATTGATTTTGAGAACAAAAGAAGGTTCTTCAGATTATAAAAAGGTAAGAAAGAGATGGTTCTTTAAAGAACCTTTGACTGAATAGTTTTTTGTGGAACCAAAAATGGTTCTTCTATGGCATCTCTTCAAGAACCTTTTGAAGCACCTTTATTTTTAAGAGTGTAGGTTCAGTAATTTCACTTTAATGGCAATGAATAGGTTCTTTTCATTGCCATTAAAGTGAAATAACTGAACATAAACAAAGAAGAAAAAAATGCTAATTTTAGAAGAAAATTTCAGACTGCACTAGAGGCTTTTATATCTGAACTCATTAAAAAAAAAAAAAAAAAAAACATTGAAACATTTACTGAACATTTAGACAAATAAGTGTTTTTTTTGTTGTTGTTTTTTTTGGGGGGGTGGGAGTATAGCATTTGATACATCAGGCTTTTTTGGCTCCTTAAAGAAGAAAAAACAGCTCACTTTTAGATGAAGTTGCTGATATTTATATGGCCAAAAATGAAGATAAAATTTGAATAGCTTGTAACAGTATAGCAGACTATTTACATAAAATGCATATACATAGCAGTTATCACTCTATATTTCCCAATAATATATCATAGTAAGGTGATATTTAAATGTTTAGTTATATAATCAAAAGTGGTTATTGTGAGGGGCAAAACATACAGTATAAAGCATCTTTTTTTTCTAAAAATTATGTATTGATAATCAAGTAAACCTAAGTTGCTTCATTTCACTACATCTTTATCTTTAAATATTACTAAAATTATAAAAGATATTCTTACGTTTACTTCATAAAAATCAGTCACAAAGATTATCACAGCAAAAAGACACATGTACCACAACCTGAAGGTGGACATTTTAAGTTTTATACTAAAAGACCTTGATTAAAAAGTATACATTATGAATCACACAACACAGGGGTAGGCAAGTTCGGTCCTAGAGAGCCCTGCAGGACTGCGGCTCTCTAGGACCGAACTTGCCTACCCCTGACACAACAGAAGGCATGTAGTAGATTGTGTACAACAGGTTTATCAGGCCTTAGAAACTTGTGTATCAAATATAATTCAGTAGGCTTTATATGGGTCGTTCATCTCGATAATTCACAAATTATTGGATACCATAATTATCGGCCATAATAGCCACTGAAACATGAACAAAATAACTTGGTGCCCTTTCAACATGTTCATTTTGATTTTACCTACCATATAATGTTTGATCCTCAGATGATGAAAGGCCAGATCATGTATTCCAACACATTGCACTATACTCCAGCAGAGCCTCCAGGGACAGTCATCCGAGCTGTGCCCCTTACATTAAACATCCAGTGCCTATACAATAGGTAAGCCATCAATCTGGAAGGGTTCAGGACTTGGAGATAAAATGCACCTCATCCATTTTTTTTCAATTTCTAGATTTCATTATTCCTACAAAATGGGCTTCCTGCCTGTGGTGAGGGAGCACATGTTTCACAAGATTTTTGAACGCAGGGCCAAGTTTAGTCTTTATGTGTGTAATGGTAAGCTTTTCCTCTCCTTCTGCATAATTTCCTGTTTTGTTTGACCCCTCATATGGTGTTGGTGCCCATCGGTCTATTAAATTGTGTGTGAACTCTAGAACGCTGGGAAAGACTCGAGGGAAATGGGAGATTTGTGCTTGACGAACCCATGTATTTTGAAGTCAGTGCTGCTTATATATCTGAGGACGAAAGGATTTTTGTTGACTCCTGCTATGTAACAGCATCAAGAGACCCAAAGTCTATTCCACAACACAATGTTATTTGTAATTATGGGTAAGTGGTTTGGAGCACTCTGCTTTTATTAACATGAATAGACTTTCGAAGGGGAGAAGAACAAATATTAACACCAAACATTGCAATTTCAGGTGTATGGAGGACAGCAGAAGACAAGCAAGTCTCTCACGCTTTCTCCAAAGACAGTCGAACATTATAAGGTTTTCAGTCGATGCCTTTTTACTCCCCCAAGTTACTGACACGGTAATGTTTTCATTCTTAAATGTGTCAATTTAAAGGAGAGAACGGGGCTAGTTGTCACACTTAACTCCCGGGATTATTGGCTGAGGTTGCATTTGAAATTGAGTTTACAAAAAGTCTTGACTGCACATAACTTGAGGAATATATCATTTTTGGATGTAATATTGAACCTTTCTATAATCATTGCCCTGGGGTAAAAAAGAAAAACCTATTAATTCCAGAATATTTATCTAAAATTTTCTAATTATCTACACCGTAAAAAAAATTCCGTAAAATTGACGGTAAAAAAACGGCAGCTGTGGTTGCCGCAATTTTACCGTAAAAAATACGGTAGCAACGTTTAGGTTTTACGGTTTTAACTTAAAGGGGTTAATACACTGATAACCACCAAATGCAGGTGGTGATGAGAAAGTCACATGATGAACCAAAGCCCATCACAAGCAGCTTTTAAATAATAACATACAGTATATAGAAGGTGCACAGTGTCATTCACACAAACACCAAACACCATCATGGTAACACACATGAAACTGAAATAATGCAATAAACATTCATTTAACAACATTAGGTGTAACACACAACCAATGTCCAATACAGTTTTTCACCATATATAGTAGGGGAATTTACCGTTAACCATTTAACAGGTTTTTACTGTAGCATTTTTACAGTCTTTTACCGTTAAATTCACGGTCATTTTTTACAGTGTAATATAAAAAGCCATCCTCCATAACATATCAGAGGATTTAATGACATTTTCTGCCAATTGTAGACAATAAAATTTGGGGGGAAAATGAAACGGAACAAAGTGAAATTTGTTTTGAAAAATGTATGAAACTGCAAAAATGGAAAAAGTAACATACGAAATGAGTAAACCCCTACAGAAATTTTTAATGTGTAGAAATTACAGTATTTAAAACACGTGATAACCTACCCCTGTCTAATATGTAGGTGTGTTTATATATTTATACATATTCAATTAAATTCAAGTTTATTTGTATAGCGCTTTTCATGATACAAATTGTTGCAAAGCAACTTTACAGCAAATTAAGTTTCTACAATATTTAGTGGTAGCTTATCAGTGGTGACTATTGGTTAATGTACATATGGCAGAAATGTACGGAAAAATCAATTCAAGACGTAATCAATTAAAGACATAATCAAACAGACGATGAACACTATTAACAGCTTTATATGATACAATCAAACTTATAGCAAAATTTGGTAGTTCATATGAATGAATGTGTGTTGATTTCTTCATTTCCTACAGCACTTTTACCTACATTGCACAGTATCGGTTCACAGTGCCACTACAAGTGCCATAGCAAAGTCATGTAACTATAACAATGTAGAGAGAAGGTAAGTTTCACACATATATGCAACAGTGTGTAAATGTGGAGAAGCTGCATTCATTCTTAGTTCTTATCCTGTACCAACAGGTGGGAGGAACTCTACACCGACGCATCTGTTTGTGCTTGTGATTCCACATGTGAAATTGAATCATCTTGTAAGTAGAAAATATCAGAGACTATGAGTAATTGTGTTTCACACATACTGTGTCAATGCAGAGAAGCGGCATTCACTCTTAGTTCTTATCCTGTACCAACAGGTGGGAGGAACTCTACACCGACGCATCTGTTTGTGCTTGTTGTGATTCCACATGTGAAATTGAATCATCTTGTAAGTAGAAAATATCAGAGACTATCAAATGAAAACACTATAAGTCACACATCAGTGTTTTGTTCTTGCTTCCATAACAGCTTCTTTGCCCCATGTGACACAATCTATAACAAGCAAACCCTGGATTTTGGACAAAAACAAACAATCTTTAATCCAGACTATGGAAGGGTGGGTCAATGTTCAAGAGGACACAGAAGAGATGAAGTTCAAGAGTGCAGAAGGAATCGATGAAGAGGAAGAAGATGGTTACACTGTGGAGATTGTGACAGATACTGAAGAACAAATAGAAGCAAAAGAGAAACATAAAAAGATGCCCATGAATGATTTAGATGAGGATGTAGAAGTAATTGTTGGGACAGTGGAAACAACTACAGAGTTAAAGGATAAAAAGGGTGATCGTTCTGGAAAAGTAATGCTTGTTAGGGAGCAGAAGAACAGGGTTGTAAAGATTGGAGAGGATGCTGGGAGACACGAGAGCACAAGTAGAACTGAAATTGTTAAACGGCCTAGTGTTCAGTTCATGGAAGAGCTTTCGGAAGATGTTAATAATGACCAAGCATCCAGCAAGAGTGGAGCACAAGAAATAATTCTCATTACCAGAGAAGAACTGTCCGAAGATAAAATACAGCCTGAAGATTTTGAGAAGAACATTCAAGTACAAAATACAATAGGTCCATCACAAATAGTGATGGATGAAGAGATATTTTTAAATGGTAAACATGAATCAGTGGAGTGGAATCAAGATAAACACTAACTATCCTGATGTGGGAGAAATGGAGGACTGACTTTTGAGGTCGTTCCAGGGTCTCCAAGGTATGACAGTTTATTTCATTTATAATGAATTTAGCCGTCACTTTATAATTTCAAGTGTTTATTTATTTCTGGTTTAGGTACCTTGAATGACCTTTTTTGGAGTTGCATCTGTGGGGCCAAAGATCTCTGCATACTTTATGGATTCAACTGAATTCAATATACAAGTAGTCACATTTTCTGTACTTGTATTGAAAAGTATGCATTCTTTATACTGTGCTAACATTCACTGTAATGTCGTCAGAATATTAAAACATTTTTGACTGATCATTAGGTTTCTTTTTCTGATGTCCTCTGACCTCTTTGATGCCTCTCACTGAATTACTTATTCTTAAAGGGATAATCTCACAGTTCATATTTTACCCCAAAATCAAAAAATAAAAATGCATCAAGAAAATTTGCATTATGATCTTCTGTCTAAATGTGTTCATAAATCACAGGAATAAAACCTCAAGAGAATTCCCTGACGAGATTAGACATGTGAATGAATATGGAGCACAGACACATTTGAAAATAAAGAGCATTAACAGATTTTGGCAATCTCTAATGTACTGTCAGATTTTATGGCCATGCTGTGTATGTCTGTATCTGCTCACATCAGACGAAAATGCATTTTAAAATACAGATAAAAGGTTTAGACATCATTATGGTAACAGATTTCGGTAACCTACACTGCCTTGTCCAATTTGGTGAACCTTCTGTATCGGCATCTGTTCTCATAAGACAAAAATGCTTATATAACACCAAGGAGGTCAGACTTTGGGTAAAATTAAAGCCATTCTGTATAAAAATAAAATTGGTAATAGATTTTGGTAACTTTTAAATACTGTGCTGTTGGATTTGGAGATCCTGTTGTATGTCTGTTGCTGTTCACATTAGAGTTATATGCTTTCTAGGGTATAAAACAGAGGATTTTAGACATCACCGGAGTAAATTTGAAGAGCATTAAAGCCATTCTTTATGAAATAAAGGGTAACAGATTTTGGTAACCTCAAGGCTATGCTGCCTTGTCGGATTCGGCAACTCTGCTGTATGTCTCCATGTGTTCGCAGCAGACCAAAATGCTTTAGATTATGAGAAAACTGAGATTAGACATCACCAGAGTGAATATGGCTACTATTAAAGCCAACAAATCTCAATAGCAACTAGATTTTATTAGTGTATTTATTTAAAGCATAAATAACAATCAGAAATGTAAAACACAAACAGAAAAAAATATTGATATAAAATAATGATATACCTAGCAATAGAGCTTGGGAAGCTAAAAACATTATTTCTTGCAAAAGGCGTCTTCTTGCACGAACTTACTGAACCACTAAAAAAGATAATCAATGTATTAGATGTATGATTTATATATATATATATATATATATATATGATGAAAAATGTTTCATTGATTTATGTTATCATATGTCTGTTGTTAACCCAATAAATAAATAAATAAACACTTGTCACCGATTTCCGTCAGGGATCACGTCATAACGTAAAATGCGCTGAATCTGTTTTGAAACCTGCTCGAAAGAACCGATTCGTGGAAATGAATCGGTCTTCCATCACTAGTGAAACAGGCGACAGGTGCATTAATTATCCATTTCAGCTCTGTGAAATATGTCAAGGTTACCAACACTGTTTGAGTAAAATAGCGACTATTACCATTTCTTTGATGCAGTTTAGAGATATGAAGCTCTATTTCCCAGTAATATTTACTTTACTGGTCTTGTCCTCCACATATGTGTACGCCGTACGATCTGCGTCAAAGCACGCGAGCAATTCGACCTCAGCACTGGACGAAAAATTTGAAAAAGATTTAGACGGATCTGCTGTGAAGAGTCTCGGCTCGCCATATTTACGACTTCCCGTTTTCCAGCATTCAAGAAATCCCCTTTTGGACAAAAAGCAGTTCTCTCCGTTGCATGGGTCAGGCCGTGAACAACTGCCCGAGGAGACGAAAAAAGTCCTCGTCCCGCGCACCGCAGTAACGTTACCTGAGGCCTCCCGCCGCCGCGGGCGATCACAAGGAGTAACCGTCGTTTGTCAAATGAAGAAAATGATCGTTAAAGTTCACAAACACATTTTAGGCATCGACGGCCTTCATTCAGAGTTAAAACTGGGAACATGCGACATCAGCAAGACTACAAAACACTATCATGTGTTTATTTACGACATGGACAAGTGTGAAAGTAAGAGAAAGGTGTGCTTGGCTAATATATTTTTTTCCATTAGTTTACAATTTTTTTTCCCTCTTAAATAACAAAGTGCAGTAAACTCTCATTTAAATGATTGTAACAAAGTCAGTCTGGTATTAAGTAGCCTGTACTCCGCCAGAATGTAGCTTATGTCTGTTATCTATTACTTTTTAATTTGTATAATTTCAAACAATACGTTCACAATAAGGCTTTGCAAACATTATATATATATATCTCTCTCTTACAGCAAAACAATCATGAAAAATAACAAAAATGCGCACGCGCTCTATATATAAGTAGTCAACATTTGAAGTGGATCAAAACCTTTAATCAAAGTTGTCCTAAAACCAAAACAATACCAGTTCTTGTCTTAGGACAACTTTGATGAACTTTTTTGATCCACTTTAAATGTTGACTACTGTATAGATGGATGGATAAAAAAAAGAATGGTATGAAAAAAATGTCTAAAAAATAAAAGAAAGGAGACTCATTATAGCGCTAAGGCTCAAAAAATAATTTTCTCCGTTCAACTCGGGGCTTCACTTGATAAACTTTGCTGTGAAATTATCTTTGTCTTTTTGAATGCAGTTAATAGACAACAGAGTAACATATTCCAACATACTGCGCTACTCTCCAGTGACGGACCTGGGGCCAATCCGCCGTGCCATGCCTTTCTCAATACCTGTTGAGTGTCACTTTAACAGGTAAATCTGTCTTTCGATGTACATACATATCGATATGTGTTGATTGCACTGCAAAAAAAAGCTTATCTTAGTATTTTTGTCTTGTTTATAGTCAAAATATCAAAAAATTCTTACATTTAAAATGCGTTTACTAGATAAGCAAAATGACATAAGATATTTAGTCGGTTCCGGGGGGACTAAACTAAGTGCATTTTGCTTAAAACAAGTAAAATGATCTGCCAGTGGGGTAAGTAAAATATTCTTAAAACAAGAGTATTTTACTTACCCCACTGGCAGTAGTAGCCACTAGTTTTTTTTTTCCCCCTTGAAACAAGACTAAATATCTAATGCCATTTTGCTTATCTAGTAAACGCATCTTAAATTTAAGAATTTTTTGACATTTTGACTAGAAACAAGACAAAAATATCAAGTAAGATAAACACTTCCATTACAAGCTATCAAAATTTTATTTTACTTTTTGGCCATATAAATAACAGCAGCTGCACCAAAATTGTATATTTTTGCTCAATTTGGGAGTTTGAATAAAAGATAGGTGTTTTTTCCTTCCAAGTATGAGCTGCATATTTTCCTATATTATACTATATGAGCCATATAAGCCTGATGTAACATACCATGTTCATGCAAACTTTTTTATATTTCTTATAATATTTTGTCGAAATGCTCAATGAACTATTCCATTAGAAAAAAAGTACTTTTCTAATTATTTATTATTTCATGCCAGGCATTGTAAGAGTTCAAATGAGAGTGAGTGCTGGGATGTCGTGGCATGGGTGAGCTGGGATACACCACTCCTGTTGCAGAGTTCCAGTAGGTGGTTGGAGGCCCAAAGAAATTCCCAGTGGAAACGGGCATAGGGGTTGAATGAGTGCCCATGAAGTTCATTTTTGGCTGGTGGCTGTGGTAGCTTTGTACATATGGCACTTCAGCCTGGTATTTGAGCACGCCCCCTTCTGGAGGATGGTTTTGGTGGGCTTGGGAGATGCCCTGGAAATCGAATTTGTATGCATAGCGTTTGCCATGCACCTTGGTCATGATGTTCTTGTCATAGTAGTAGCGGAGGGCCCGGCTGAGCTTGTCATAGTTCATGTTAGGCTTGCTCTTTCGCTCCCCCCAGCGCTTGGCTACCTCGTCTGGGTCGGTCATCTTGAATTCTCCGTTAGTGCCCTCCCAGGTGATGATGGAGGCATTGTTGCTGTCAGACAGCAGCTCCAACAAGAACTGCCACAGCTGGATCTGACCAGAGCCTGTGTGAAAATAAAGAGTGTCAGAGATTTTTAGTAGCGGATGGAAGGGCTTTTTAGGGCAGGTTGTTTTCTCGAAATGTGACCTTTTTAATGTATGTTGTACACAGAAACAGAATGTGGGTCGGTCAGACACCTACCCACAGTCCTGTCAGTGCTGGTGACGGGCAGATGCACACCAAGGCTGTATTTGTTTGATCAAAAATACAATAAAAACAGTAACATTTTTAAATATTACAATTTAAAATATTGGTTTTCTATTGAAATGCATCTTAAAATTTAATTTTATTTCTGTGATGGCAAAGCTGTATTTTCAGCAGCCATTACTCCAGTCTTCAGTGTTACATGATGCGTATTATTTGGTGGTGCTTATTATTTTATATATTGTGGAAACTGTGCAGCAATAGATTTCTTCTTTTTCCAAATGTAAACGTTTTACCGTCACTTTTGGTCTTTAATGTCTTTGCTGAATAAAAGTACAAATTTCTTTAAAAAAAAAATTTTTTTTTAATCTAACTGACCTCAAACTTTTTAATGATAAATGTATGTTATTTAAATTATTAAAAAAATTAACTAATGAAAATATAATTTAATTGTCTTAGGTATGTTTTATTTGTCCAGATTATATTAACAACAGGAATTCAGTTATTCAGTTATCATATAACTGAACACATATATGGTCTAATCTCATTTATTATTCAATTATAAAAGGGCAAAACTTTGTGCCCAGTCTGTGCATCCAAAGATAACATACCCTAAAAAGGCCACATTTGTTAATTTGACTGATGCTTATACAGTTTTCTGATTAGTCACTTCTTACCTGGATTTGCAAGACGGCTGCTGATGGGACCTAATGCTTGGTAGGGGTCTGCAAAAATGGAAATGTAAAATACTGATTAGATATTTTGAGGTGTAGTTTAACAAAAAAGATCATTAAAAGCAATTTCATAGAGTATTAAATTAAAGGGGCACTTGTCGACCTTGTGGAAGTCTTGGTGGAGGCTCTGTAATTCTGGTGTTGTGCTGATGTTCGATTGGAGAACCTGTGATTTTAAAAAGGTGAGTTTTTTTTTTCTTTTTTTTTTCTTTTAAATATTTCATATTTGTGCAGTATAATTATGTAACATTATGATGTTTTTGTGAACGCAGAGCAACCTTTTGGGACAGCTGGTAAGGCGCTTGAGGACCAACTGTTCCTTCTGCCGATCTCCTCAAAGCAGTTTTCTGTGCCGAGGCAAAGTCAGATAGGAGCAGTTAACAAAAGGGAGATTTTACAGGAAAGGATGGCTTTAAAGAGTAAGGAAGGAAGCCCTGCATTAAAGATCCCTAAGGAGAAACGCAGGGCAGAACAAAGCCAGCAGCAAAACCGTAAGAAGGCCTGAAGATGGCACACAATTCCTCAGGGCGATTGTCCTTTTGTTCTAACTGATTCTCTTTACCACAGAATAGTCAATTGTATCCTAACCTGACTCTACACCCCTTACTTCCTATCCTGATGCAGCTGTTTCCTGTCTGAAAGTGCAACGATTCAAAAACCTTGCAACACTTGGGGCAAAATTCATTGAAGAAACAAACTACAGTCCTCATAGGACCTCTCTAGACTCGATATTAGCCATTGGCATTTTATCAGTACAATAACTTATTGGAGCATGTTTTACAAGAAAATATTTCAGTTTTTTTTTTTTTTTTTGAAGAATGTTGGTAACCAAACAGTTGTTGGTAGCCATAGACTTCCATTGTATTTTTCCATGCTACAGAAGTTAATGGCTACTGGCAACTATTTGGTAACCAACATTCTTAAAAATATCATCTTTTAGGGTGAACTACCCCTTTAAGAATTTTAGCATAGCTAAAGATAACCATGTGACTTATCATAGGGTGGAAACCGCATTATGATGCAATACGTGTTTAGTAAATAGTTGCATTGATTAAAATTTTAATAAGAAGAATATTATTAGGCACAAAATTGCTTATAGTTCACTGGAATAACTTTAGGATCATTACAGTTACAAGAAACATCTCATCCAATCAGAATTTACAGTCAGAACTGTATATAAAACTAAATTTTATCTTAAAAAAAGGAAGTAAAAAGTTTGACTTACCAGCTTTAACCTGTAGTCTAGGCTGTGGTTCTGTATTGGTAGGGGTTGCAGGGTAGGAAAAAGTGGGGCTACCTGAGTAAACAATAGTAAAGAAAACAAGCCCTCTTAATTTACTTTATATATAAATAGGCACAAACGTTTCCACAATGTACTAACAATGCATTTAGAAATGGAAATGATTAAAGTCGCTTTATAGATTTTCCTGATGTTTTCTTGACCAAATTAACAATTAGTAATGGATTATTCATATGGAATTATGGGCAAAGTTCCTTACTCTCCCGGAGGTAGTTTAGATGGGAGAGCAGGATGTCTGTATTGTATGCGGTAGTAAGACGCATCATGTCCTCTTTGGTCATTTTGCAGAGCGCTTTTCCATCCAGAGTATGGAAGAGGGACGCGTCCACATCGGAAAGGCTGTATTCCTTTATTGCCCACTCTACCCACTGCCGCACATGGTCTTGTGTCCATACTTCTGGGTCTAAAACAGGACAGAAGCAAAAATAAAATGAGGAACAAGTGCTTCAGCTGTGACAGTACTTATCAGAGTTCAAACACGAGGTAAAAAAGTCAGTGCACTCTCTGTTACTGCTCTGCCAAAATCATCAAAATTAAAAGAACCAAAGACTTAAACTACTTCAGTCTGTGTGCATTGAATTTATTTAATACACGAGTTTCACAATTTGAGTTGAATTACTGAAATGAACTTTTCCACGACATTCTAATTTATTGAGATGCACCTGTATATTATCAGGGGCATTTTTTCCGAGGAGGCAGTGTCTCCTCAAAATATTGGATGAGGAAAAAATTTGTAGTAAAAAAAATAATAAACCACGCCGATATTACAAAATCCGCATCTCTTGCTTCTCCTGCTCCCATTGACTTTTAACAAACCCCCCTAAGCATGCGGATATACATCTGTAATAAAACACATATATATATATATATAAAGAAGGGCTTTTATACACACATAAAACCTGTAAAAGCCCTTCTTTATATATATGTTTATATTTTATGTGTATGTATGTACGTGTGTTTTTCATTCATTGTCATTGTTTATTTGAATATATATGTGTATATATATATATATATATATATTTCTTAACCATTGCCTGGTTTATTTTTAGAGGATTTTTCTCTGCCTTTTTGACGTCACAGCTCAGCTGCCATTGAGATGAATGGGAATGCTATCGGAAATGTTTCTCCACATATTACAGACCTCCTGTTATAAGCCATCATACTCTCTTATTTGTCCTTGAAATATGACGCCATATCCGAGAATTATGAGCATTATAATTGTTTGGTCTGTGTGACTCATGAGGAGGTATCCCATACACTCACTGTCACACAATGCATGGAGCGACTCCACCACTCTGCCCTTTTAATAATGTTACGACGACCTTCAAAACGTTTCGCTGAAGATAACGCAACTTCCTAATTGGTTTGGGAGTAAAGAGTGATTATCTCTGTTGGAATCTGTGCAATCATTTGTAGTTTAGTCAGCTGGGTTACTGGGATCTACCAGAAGGAAGCACATCAGTGCTTTTTCTTTCTTTTACAATGCTTGTATTGCAAATTAGCCTTTTTTCCCCACAAAGCACAAGTTCCTAAGTGATGCAAGAGCCTGTGGCCACTGCATAATTACCACATATCTTTGTTTAGACATCTATACGTCCTCTAGTTTTAGAAATTGGTCAACTGCAGACTAAATCTGTCAGGTGCTAAAATGCTTCCCTTTTTACAAAACAACATTACAGTCAACAGGTGTTATTTAAGTATCTATATACTGTTGTGTATTTATTAATATTTTGAATTGGCTTTTAATTTTATATTTTTAGTTTAAGTACTTTTAATTTAGTTGCAAATGCAACATTTTTAATGGCAAAAACAAATGTTTTTAATCGTTTTAATGTTTTAGTAAAGTGAATTTAGTATTTTAGAAAAATTTTATCAAAAATGATACATAATATACAGACCTTGTCTTAAGAAAGTGCATGATATTTCAAAATAAATTTTTAAATGGTAAAGCTGAATTTTCAGCAGCCATTATTTCAGTCTTTAGTGTCACATGATCCTTCAGAAATCATTCTAATACACTGATTTGGTGCTCAAGAAAATTACAAATATATTAATATTTAAACAGTTGTCCTGCTTATTTTTTGTGAGAACTGTGAAAAATGTGATCACACTTTTTTTCAGGATTCTTTGAATAGAAACAAGAAAATAATTTAAAATATAAATCTTTTATTATATTATAAATGTCTTTACTGTCAATTTTGATTAAATTAATGCATCTGTGCTGAATAAACTGAGTAATTTCTCAGTGTATGTTGCGTATATCTCATTACAAAAGTAAAAAGGTTTGTGAATGCATTTTCATGTTAAGTTAATACAAAAAATATACAGTCAGACTCTGCTTTTCTGTATAAATGACAGTGAAACACTTGATCACTTTTACTATAGATCTCACCCGCTGGTACAATTACTCTCTTCTCCTCTGTGGCGCTGCTGGGTGGGGTGGCAGTCTGTGGGCTGCTCCGTGGCTCTGGGTAAGAGGCCTGGTAGGCCAAAGGTCCCCCATCACTGTTACTCATGTGTCGGGTCTTTTTAGTCACACTGCAGTCCACTGGGGACTCACGGCTGTGGCATGCATGAGAAAAAATAACAAACGGAGAGCTAAAATGTTTTGGTTCTAAATGCTCACCGTTATGATATTGAAGGAATAGTTTAACTCAAAATTCAGATGCCTCCTGGAAATGCATATCGACAGGTTTGATCAGTGATACTGAATGGCACTGGTTTCTTACATGTAATGCAACATGGTGAGTTGCGAATGAGATGTTATTTCACAATACTTGTCACGTATGACCTGTATGGACTAATTTATGGTGCTTTTCTTGGTGCTTCACAGCATGTGGTCACTGCTATTATTGTGTGGAAAAGAGCCGCTTGGACATTCTGGGAAACTTCTCCGTTTGTGTTCCACAGAAGAAAGAAAGCCATATTATGGATTTGGAATGACATGAAGGCAAGTAAATGATGCCAGAATTTCTTTTTTTTTTTCTTTTGAGGGAAAGAGTCCTACACTTTTACAAATAAAGGTTCCAAAAGTTTTTTTTTTTTTTCACAGTGATTCCTTTGAAGAACCACTTTTGGATCCTCAAAGAACCTTTCAGTGATCTGCTGTTCTCAAAAGAACCATTTTTTCATAGAAACTTAGAAACTTTTTACAGTATAAAGAACCTTTTGTGCATTGAAACGTTTCTTCGTGGAACCATAAATACCAGTAAAGAACCTTTATTTTTAAGAGTGTATAAATGGAGATCTTCTGACATCAAGGTTTGTTGTCCCACCTGGTTCCGTTGATGTGTTCTGCTCTCTTCGCAGGGTTCTGTGTGGCCGATCCGGTCCAGTCTGGCTCAGTGGGTTCTACGCTCTCTTCAGAACCCTGTCTGAACACTGCAGGCGAGGTGATCTCTCCCTTCATGTGCATGGCCTGGGGACCACTGAAGGGCGACTCGAATATGGACTGGTTTTCACTCACCACCGATAGAGCTTCCTGTGAAGTATACAACACACACTGGTTCTGTAAACAAAACACTTCAAGTCTTTAATTTAGGTGAACAACAAATCATAGCGTAAGAATAGAAATAACACTTAATCATTTAGTCAGTAATTCCAGAACAGGGATGTTACGGGTTTCCGCTACTATCGCTATGCCATGACTTTCTAATCAGCAACTGGTGTCAAAAGAATTGATTTGGGGCACGAACTTAAGGTTTATCTGGACAATAAAAAAACTCTACTGAGGAACTCCACTCTACAAAATAAAGGTGTCTGTTGTTCCATATAGAACCTTTAACACCATGGAACCTCTGCATTTTACAAAAGTTATTGATGGTGGAAAAAGGTTCTTTAGGTTATTAAAATGTTCTTCACATTAAGAAAATATGGTTCTTTTAAGAACAGTTCAGTAAAAGATTCTTTGTAGAACCAAAAATGGTTCTTCTATGGCATCGCTGCGAAAACCCCATTTTGGAACCTTTATTTTTAAGAGTGTAGAGTTAATAGAAATTACCTTTAATTCAGTCTTTTGACTCAAAAGCTATATTAGCTTATTAGTCCAAAACCTTATAAAACTATAAAATTAGCACTAAAATTACTTATATGCTCTCTTATTGTTCAGCTACAGGGGGTATTAATTTTGAAACTGAAAAATAAGTTTATCGGAATAGTTTAGGGCGTTTTTATTTTTTTATTTTGTTTGAACTTCCAGGTAGATATGACTTGGCACAAGAGTCAAATTAGAAATTGAGACATCATCTGTGCATTTTCTTCCTGTGTTTAGTGTTGGTAGTCTGCTCTCGAGCACTCTGGTCTGGGTGTGTCCGTTTGAAACTTCCAAAAGACATTTTAAACATTCAAATGTATGTAAGTGTTTGTGCATGAATAAATGTTTGTGTTATAGCTGAATTCAGGGAGCTTGTTTAGAGGGTTTTGTATTGTCTTTAGAGCTGAAATACGTCAGCACTGAGCTTTTTCGGTGGCTCACAGGAAATCTGGCCCCCATGTGCAGTGAAACCTTTTGGCATGGGGCATGAGATAGGAAACAGAGGAGTGATAGAAATGTGGGTCATTTAAAGCTGAAAAACAAATTTGTTCTGAATGCTGTTGAGGTTGAGGGTCACCAAACAGGGAGGAGGCAGCATTGTAGGGTGCATTCACCTGACCTGAAGTCTTGCGGATTTGTTACAAGAATCTGTTTCGGTGTTTAGTTTAAGTGACTGGCATTTACTGATAAAATTGCTTTTTAATGATGAAAGTTCAAAGGATTTTATATCATGCATATTTCAGATCAAGACTACCAGGAAAGAATGTTCTCTTATGGCCCAAACAAACACCAACTACTTTGGGTTTTGTTGTCCATTCAGAATTAATCCTGAATTTGAATTGAACTAGCAGAATAAGAATTTGAATGTAAGGAAGTAGAATTACAGTGACGTGAAATTCAAAGAAATTCATGTGACTAATTTTTAACTGGAAAAGCTAAGTCAAGACAAAAGAATGTTGGCATCTTTGTTTGAAAGTTTAAAAAGCTTTGCAGTTTTATAGGGTTTGCGGATGGATGGATGGATTTGTTGTTGCAATGTGAATTGCCAAACCCGAGTGACAAGTCAATATTACTGGCTTCTCTTAAAATATCTTAAATTTTTGCTAGTAATAATTCACTATAAATATACTGCCACAAATCTTAATCATTTCTAGTTCTCCTATTGAACTAGCTGTGAATAGCATAGCTATCTCTCACACACACTATAATAAAGGCCATGAAAAGTCCTGCTCTAGTAGAGAAGTGAAAGCGTGCTCAAAACAAGGCCAAGCTGAGAACTCAAACCGTTTTCACCGCCTAGTCTGTGTGCATTTGCAAGCGTCAGTCTTGTGTACACATATACAACAATAAAGTGCAATCCACAGCCTTAACTTATGGCACAGATTAGGCTGAACTTGATGCTGCTCTGTGCAGGAGAGATGACATGCACTAAGATTGCATTGCATTGTCCAACACCATTTGAACACTCACTTATTTAAAACAATTCATTTGGATCAGTATACAAAAAGCAAATGTGCTAGTTGGACAAATGATGTATTCTGCATCTTCTCTTTTACAGCAAGCTAAACTGCAGCCAGTGAAACAGTTGGTATTTCATTCTGCAGTTAAAATTATTCTGCACCTATGCACCTTTTAAACCACAACCCCACACACATAGTACTGCTCTCTCTCCTCCAAAGTGATGAACATAAACATACTCTACCCTGACCACCAATGCCACAACTGACTTCCTGTTCGATGAGTTTCATATCAGTCTCTGTTGCTGAGAAACCAAACGCAATATTTTAGCGAACATAAACTGCACACTGTGTGCAAAATGTCAGAGTCGAGGTCAGTGAGATTAATGTGCGTCTCACATCAAAAACAACACACAGAGATGCACATAAACACAGGCATGCTATTGTTGTGCCATCCTTGGCGCCGCTGGGTGCCTATGTCAGCGTGCAGTGTTTTCAAGTCAATTGCAACAGACCTCCATTTGGGTCTTGTGAAAGAAATTCTCATTTTGTCACAACAGAGCTTGGGGTAGAGCAACACTGCACAGAAAAAAAAAAAACCTTGGTGCTTTTAGGTTTCAGAGGTTTTGCACAAAAACTAATCACACAGTATATCACCCTCAAAGGGCGGAGCTCACTGCAAACTTATTCTGTGATAATCCAACAGATTTACTAGATTACCACTAGTAAATCTAGATATTAGACTAACATTTTTAAAGGTGTACAGGTTTGAATCTGATGCATACTAGTAAAGGAAGCACTGAAAAGCAATGTGGTCAATCTTTGGTAATGAAATCAGGTTATGAAATGTCCCTTTGCTTATTATCATAATTGGACATTGGGTAATATGGGACACATAGTCTGATCTGTATATTTCACAAATCACAATTGGCTTTATCATATTCTAGATGGTTTGCTGCTGTGAAGTCTAATTTGTTGGTCTGAAGTATTAGAGTGAAAATCACAGTAAAATGCGGAATTCAGACATGCAAAAAATACTGTTACTGAATAAATACTGTGCACTGGCTACATGCTTGACAATGATTTCATTTATTATTTATTTTCATCATTTTAAATATAATGAATAGGGCCTAATTGTGCAATTCCTTAACTACATTAACTCAGTATTATTATGCATAAATGTATTTTATAAAATGTTTAATTTGGGCTATTTGCCATATAAACCCATTAAATAACTATATAAATAAATAACTGTCATTAAGGCACATTATTAGGGAAGACAGGGTTATTATAATTGTACATTTAGCACTAAATTATTATAAAAATAACTTGCAGAAATATATTTCAAATATCAATTAATAGATATGGAAACTTTATATTTTTTATTATTTTAAAGACTGATAAATGATGCCGCCTCTGACAATTTATGAAAAGAGTGTAAATGTAAAATAAGAAAAAAATAATAATTCGTAAAGGTGGACACACATATAGTACTCCTATTATATGATCGAAATGACTACTAAGAGAAAAAAATTGTACAAAAATTTCCTGTTTGTTTGGTTTTAAAGCCACCATTTTTATATTTTCTGTTTGTTTCTTCTTCTGATGTTCTTTTTCTCATTTAACAGTATGCAAACCAACCCCACAACCTGGGGATGGTGAACACAACTTCAGTCACGAACGAAAGTTAGAAAATATTTTTACACTTATGTTTTGTAGTGTCTGTTTTTAACCCAAGAGTCCCCCCCCTCCACATGGTTGAGTGATTCTACTGCTTGTTTTGCCAGAGATAATCAAGAAAGAATGAAAAATGTGCCAACCAACCCCGGTCTCACCGATCACTGAGATAATGTGCAATCTTTCGTATTGTTTGTGGCTCATTGACTCTGATAAAACTGCAGTCACTGTATTCTAAACAAAATGGGCCTACAGCTTTGATTCTTAACCGCAGGAACTGACACGACTGAGGGAATAAATCCCTATAAAATAAATTATTTTTTCGTTTGTTCGTTCAATTACTCATATATTGCTAAATTATTCGTTACTACCCGAATTTGCCAATATAATAAAAATAAATTGCAAATGATAAAGTGCCTATATAAATTAATGTACTATAATTGAATCAATATTATCATTTTAATATAAATAGTAATAACACCAGTAATAATAATGTCAATTACTACATTTTTATATTTATAATCAGACTATAATTTCTAATGTCATATTATAATGTTAATTTTAAAGATGGCCTATATTAAAAGCTTTAACGCACTGAGAATTCGCTAATGAATCCTATTCGAGCTAGAACTTTCACAGTTATGATGTTAGTCATGTTCAGTTTGCGAGAGTGAAGGAAAGCAGAAGTTGACGTTAAGGCATGCTGATTTTGCAAAGAGACACGCAGCTGCGCTCTGAGCTGCAAAAACACTTTGTGGTTTTCACAAGTTTTAATCGGCAACATCTTGCAAGGGGAGATGGGGGCGCTTCTCTGAGGAGAATCTGCATTAACAGGACGTGGAGACGCAGCACGTTCGAATTGGCGTCAGTTTATTGTCCGGCTAATTTAATTGAAATGTAGAACAATGCATTGGCATCGCACATCTATCGAATCAATTTTGTTTTGTCAGTCTTTGTTGCCTTTTTTTTTTTTCGAGGAGGGACTGCGGAAGTGTGTGCGGAAAGTCTGAGGTTTGAGACAGGAAGCCTGCTCAGCTCTGATAACGACACCTGACAAGCGCCCAGCACTTTGCTATAAATTATTCCTTAAAGAACTAAATCAGGCATGGAATAACTACAAACACGAAACACAGGAATGCAACAGGCTACCCCTCTGCTCTAGTTTACAGAGGGGATGTATAGGGATCATTGCGTGAAAGGACAAGATGAACCAACACAGTTTTTGCAGAAGGAAGCCTGCTCAGCTCTGATAACGACACCTGACAAGCGCCCAGCACTTTGCTATAAATTATTCCTTAAAGAACTAAATCAGGCATGGAATAACTACAAACACGAAACACAGGAATGCAACAGGCTACCCCTCTGCTCTAGTTTACAGAGGGGATGTATAGGGATCATTGCGTGAAAGGACAAGATGAACCAACACAGTTTTTGCAGAATTAACAATTAAAAACAACTCCAATGCGTCACATTCAAAGTTGTTAACCAAATAAAAAAATTAACATAGTGAGAAATTAGAATAGGCCTGTAGCCTATTTGAGAAATATTATTTTCACACGTTGAAGACCATGTCTATTTAAAAAAATATATAGTGGCTGTTTGGATACAGAAGAAAATATGGATAGCCTACACTTTATTTTAAGGTGTCCTTGTTACAGTGTAATTACACATTTAAATACTGGATAATACTAGCCTAATTAACTATGTCCTTACTATATGGCTTGGCTTAGAGTTACGTGCATGTAATTATGCATAATTTATTGTTATTATAGCTAATAGTAAGTACATGTAACGTAACAAGGACACCTTAAAATAAAGTGTTAGCTAAAATATTTATGTAAATAATACAAACATAAGACAACAACTAGCAAACAGTACGCAGTTGACGACAGTAGCCTATTTAAATATCATCGAAATGAATTTCAGTACGCAGATAATGACTGGGATTTTAGCGATGTTACAATCATTTTATGATTAGCCCCTGTGTTTGTTTCGTTTTGTTTTGAATGAATACAGTTTAAGCTCCCTAAATTAATCGAGGTTCTAGAATAACTAATTAACCTACCACTCGCGTAGCTAATCTTCAAAATAATAATCAACATTATGTAGCTTTACTGGACAATTTTCAGCACGAATAAAAGACAATGTATTAATAATAATATTAACTGTTGCTTGCCACCATTTTCTGCCATGACATGTTACCATCCAAATAAAACTAAAATTCAGCATATGCCGTTTATCACCGTTGATATGCATTAATATAGCCTATTAGTTCTTGCAAAGTGCCATGTCAGATTTAACCAGTCGAAAGTATACAAAAAAAAAAAATACTAGACGTTTTCGTTTTGTGCTTTTTAAAGTCTCCACAGTAGGCTATACCTTGTTGTTGGCGCCATAAAGCCACCTGCCTCGAGAGCGCCGCGCCATAATTGTGCCATATGTGAAATTCGGTACATTGTTTTTCAGTTTGCATTTGCGTGCGTTTTCGTCGTTCTTAAGATGCAGTAGAAAGTAGGTTAGCTACATGTACTTAGCTAACTTGGATGGGTCATTAAATATGCCATTTTGCATCCTAGAACGTAACTGTTAAAAAAAATTAAAACAAATGGAATAACAAATTTGTGCATATACCCTCTCTCGCGCGCTGTGGACACCATTTCGTTTTTTATCTGAGTCTAAATGTTGTAGTGGTTTCTTGTGTTATTAAAGAGCCGACATTCAACCACGAACGGGAAGGAATAGGAAATTTTGTACAAGAAGGAAAGAGTGGGGACCTGCATCACCGCCTTGCCTCTCTCACCAGTAGTCGCGCTAACCGTGTGGGTGGTTGCGCACTCGCTACTCATTTTCAGAACAGACAATAAACCAGATCAAACGCCTACCTTAATAGTACAGTCCATTGCAGATTTCTGTGGAGTTCATGAAGAAAAAACTTTGGTAAACTTAAGCTATGTAAACCCAGGTACTTTGTTAACCCAGCTGAAACGCATCGACTTGTGTGCACAGGCGCATTTAGTCGTCGACGCAAACCATACTATTTTCGCTTAGACCATAACCGGATGGCAACGGTTTTTTTCTTCTTCTTTTTTTCTTTTGAGCTCTCCTTTCTAAAATTGGGAAGTGAAGTCACACAAAAGCATCTAGCTCTGTTCCTTATTGGTGAACTCTTATTGCGCTAACTCCTCGGAATATTTGTTAAGCCAAAACCTCCTGTTTAAAATTCTCTGATTATAATGAGATTTTGCAATCAGTTACAAAGTTATTTAACTAATTTATTCAAATCTGAACTCTTTCCATTTAAGAACAATATAGAACAATTAAAAAAAAAAAATTCTTTATTTGCGGTGAAAATCTATAAACGAAGATCTGCAACCTTGATTTGTAAGCTACGTGTGAACATCTTACCTATCTTTGTTTTTAACCACTTATGGTAGGCTATTGCACTTTTATGGTGGTCCTATATTTTTTTTCACCCTTTTCATTGTTTTTTTTTTATTAGCATTTAAGACTAAGAACATAACAGGCATTAATACATACGTTTTATGTTATTTACCTTGATTATAGATAGACATTTTACCTTATCTTGAAACATACAAAATTTAAAAAACATGCAGGAAATGACGCCTTAAGTTAGAATTCTCAAAGCACAAGCTAATGAAACACCGTATCCTAAATCAACAGCTGCATAAAAACTCTTCAAAACTCTCGGAACTGAAGAGAGTCCGTTGCGTTATGCACATATATATAACTATAGTTTGTGTACCATGTGACCTTATTTAAGAATAAAAGCAGATGATTCATAGAGTGTCCAGTCCGTAAACATTACTTAAGTTTAATCATTAAACTTAAATATTCTGAAAAAGTAACACGAAATAGATGTTAGTGTTTAAATGTTTTATACTACAAAAATATAAGTATTTTTTAACATCTCTTCATGTTGAATTTGGAGACAGGGCGTGCGCGTGTGGAGGTGCCATGGGAATTTGACACTGATTGTATCCTCTTCAGTGAGCGGGCTCCTTCAATCACGACTCAAGCCGTGCTCGATTTGGCAACTTACTTTTCCAGATGTATTTTTTCTGCGCGCCGGAGGAAAATGGCCTGAGGTGTTTGTTTATACAAGACCCTTGGGTTGGTCTTATCTATCCAAAGCACTCACGCCGTGATTTCAGGCCTCCTCGTCTCGGAATTTTACAGGCCATTGTTCTCTTGAATGGCTTTTAAAGATACGAACTCCTCATTAAAGTCAAAATTGCTGGTTCTGATTGATCATATTTCTAACTTCCAGTTAGAACATTTCTCCTCTCGTCACTTTATAAGAATGTATTTAGAGCGGTAAGTGATTAGCATTAACCCCAACAAATTAGCATGAATTTTTTTACTGCAAGGCCTATAGGTGTAGTCATTTATTAATGTCATTTATTCAGACATGGACTTAATGTAGTTCAGATGTAGCCTATAATTTATATTCTTACGTATTTCGTTTCGTTGTAAAAAAAAAAACAACAACACCAAAACGAAAACGTTGTTGTAGGCTAGTCTACTTTCCTATTTTATAAGCTTGCAAAATATGACCTGTCACATCATCATTATAATAATGTTAGTAATTGTTTTATTAGACTTATTAGGACTAGCCAAAAGGTTTGGTTTTAAAATTTATTACGAGTCTGAAACACTTTAGAATTTTTAGTAATAGACCTCATTCATGGTATATCCCATTTTTAATTTATGAATGAAAACGAGGCTTTTGTACTGATTGTCAGATGTCACATTTTGACCACGTTTCGCAGAGTTCCTTGTCACCAAATGCTGTTTTGGATATATTTCAATGTTATTTCCAGAGTTTCTTGTCACCAAGAAGCTAAATGATCAACACATGCAGAGCACCAAAAGTAAAGGTTCCAAATGGGAGCCCCCCCCCCAAAAAAAATCGTTCAGTCAACCGTTCTAAAAAAGAACCATTTTTAGTGTGAAGAACATTTGAATAATCTAAAGAACCGTTTTCCACTATAAATATGCTTTCGCGCAATAGAAACGTTTCATAGATATTAAAGGTTCTTCATGGAACATAGATTCGAATAGTATTTATTTTTGGAAGAAGGCCTAAACAGTAGGCCCAATTGAACGGACTGTAATTTAATTTACGACAACTCGAAAGATTCATAGACCTATCGTCTTTCGAGATTGTTTAAGCCTTTTAATCTTCCATCGAATCAAAACATTTAGGTCAAACGGTCTCGTGTTCGAGAAAAAAAAATCTGAAGGGACGTGTCTGTCAAACCTGTTTAGTGATGTTTTTTCTACACCCCATGGACACCTTTTCTGTGAATGGAAGGGTAACAAATCTGTGGTCGTGACTCCTGTCTGACGTCACGAGGAGTAAAAGGAGGGAACCGCAGTCACGACGCATTCCTTCACGAGACGCGCGGACACGCCCCATCGCGCACGGCCTCTTTATAACGGTCCTGAGGCAAGCAGAAAACGGTCAACAGAGCTGTAAAGCAGAGATTGACGCTGTAGCAAATCCTTGATATCTGGAATAAGGACTCTGAGAGAACTTTATGGTAAGGTTTTCTATTCAGTAAGATTTTAATCTGTCATTTGCGATCTGAGATTTCTAATCAGTATTATCAGTGTTTGAATCACTGGCCGCCATTGAAAATAATGGACTGTTTTACACACACGGATATGTTTAATAAATTGTACTACAGGGTGTGATAATTAGACTGTTTTTAATGGAATAATTAGGCTGACAAAAACTAACCCAATTAAAAGGATATTTTAAATTAGGGTAATTATCTAAATTATGCTGTTTTTCCTTCAGATATGGAAATGTATCAAGCTGGATTTTACACAGAAGACTTCAGAACTCAGGAGGTTCCTGGTGGATTTGACTTCAGCTCATATGGTAATATCTTATTTCAACACGTTTTTCGCCGAACAGCGTTTAAAAATGAAAATCTTCAGTTATCTCTCTCAGTATATAAATGATAACATCAAAGTCCACATTTGAAATTATCACATTCAATTTGCCCTCAAGGGAAAAATCTGTCCGATTTTGTGGGATTTAGTATTTCTCCAGCTTTGTTTCCTGAATGTCCGTGCAAAACATTTCCGTTGTCCTTGAGCTGCAAAGCCAGCATTGCAACACCCCTGTCAAAACCCTAAAAATCAGACCTTGACATCTTGTTTGTGTGCACTAATTCAAAGCTCATCAGGAAAAGGGGATGTCAGGCTATGCATGCTCTGAGATTTAGGAATGTCCAAACCAGGGATGTTGAAAAAAAGGGGTGGTCGGGTTAAAGATACACCCGTTTTTTTTTTCTGCTCCCTCCCTCTTCCTAATCCTTTCCTCCAGACTTCCTCCTCAAACAGATTTAGCACCCCCTCTCCTACACCCTTCTTCATCACTCTGTCACGGCCCCTTTACAAGTGTTTCCTTTAATTTCCAGCACAGTTCAGACTAGGTGTAGAAAACTTTACATCCATTGATCCATTGTTCATTCTAGAATACACCGTTTCTCCTGGCTCTCATTCATTTTACATATTTGATAATGTACCTCCAGACTGCAGTGGTGAAGACCTGTCCTTTTTATTAGACAGCAAAGGACCTGCCCAACAACAGTATCCAGAAACATATTCAGAGCCCCAGAAGGAGCATTTGCACAGTTCTAAAGGTAACCATCTCATGATGTACATATTCCTATCCATTATATTAAATCACAATGCAGACAAGTACTTTAATGATTACAAACATTTTTTGTGTGTGTTTTTAATTAATAGGTCATACTCTTGCAGTCAGCTCCACTGACTCTGGACTCTTTAATCTGGACTCCTTTCCTGAGTTTAGCTGTTGGGCATCCTATACTAATAGTAAGTGTCATATGACACCACTCAATTTTTTCCCTTCTACTTAAAATGTTCGAAATCCTTTTTTAAGTGACATGACCTCATACGATGCAATTTCTCCAAAGTTCCAGAAGGAATGGTAGCAGACAGGCAGCAGGTTGGCTTTCAGGAAACAAATCAAACCTACCAGAACCTTGTCCCTCTATGCACTCCAGCACAAAGCAGTCCATTTAGCCCAGGGATGGACACCAGCAGCCATTACCAACCTGGGAAAGGTCCAAATCACAGAGGTGCATCCGGTACCGTCAATCTGGACCATCTGGGTAGGCATTTTATTAGACACATAGGCTTGTGAATAAATATGCATGCTATATATATATATATATATATATACACATATATATACTTTTTTTAAATTATATAATTTTTACATATATAATTTTTTTAAAGGACATTCTTTAATGTTTAATATATTGTCAATATTAACTCATGTCTTTCTTGTGTAGGTGATACTGAGAGAACATATGTCTTGTATGAGGCAGAGCAGCAGAGCAGGCCTTCATATTGGTCTGATTATCCTTCACCCAGTTACTGCACTTCCATGCTTGGACAGCCAGCATCCTCTTCATCACCTCCAGTTACTAAATCCTCGGAGCAGTTCTGTCCCCGTGTGGCCAAAAGG